AAAGGAAGGTTTTTCTACATCGTATCGTAACTGGCGATGAAAAATGGATCTACCACGATAACCCTAAACGCTTGAAAGTATCGGTGATGCCAGGTGAACTAGGTCCATCAACGCCAAAACGAAATATCCATGCTTCGAAGATTATGTTGTGCATCTGGTGGGATCAGAGAGGTGTTATATATTATGAGCTGCCTAAACCGTCCGAAATCATCACTGGCGATCGTTATCGACTACAACTGATACGTTTAAACCAAGCTTTGAAAGAAAAACAACCGGAATGGGACAATAGGCACAACAAGCTGATTCTGTTACATGACAACGCTAGGCCACACGTTGCAAGAAATACTTGGAAAGATTAAAGTGGGAAATTCTGCCCCACCCGCCGTATTCACCGGACATTGCTCCTTCAGATTTCCATTTGTTCCGATTCATGCAGTCGGCCCTTTCTGGAGAACGATTCAATTCTTATGAAGATATCAAAAAATGGCTTGATGAATGGATCGCTTCAAAAGCACCAGATTTTTTCATTCGAGGAATCCGTTTATTACCGGAAAAGTGGGAGAAAGTTGTCGCTTCCGAAGGAGCATACTTTGAATAAACTCACTTATATAGATTTGTTTAAATAAACACATCTTTTTCTTTTCAAAAAGGGCGGAAACTTATTCCCATACCCAATATTTTGTTTGAATATCAACCACTGTTTAACCTAATTTGAGAATTTATTAACTGATTTATCAGTTAACCACTAACTATCACAAACAATTGATTATTCGGCGACTGAAAATCCACACGAAAAAAGGAACACGTTTGTAAATCCGTACACAACAACGCAGCACAGTATTTACGTCACAAACGTACTTTAATTAAGTCTAACAGGTATTTCAGAATGTCAAATTGTAAGAAACTTAGAATCTTAGAATTCGACGTATTAAAATGGTTGTTTGATTCGTATGTCAATATTTTTATAACGTTTATCATACGTATTTATTGTTTAATTTCGCTCTTTTATAACGTTTTTCTAACAATTTTATCAGTGTAACTAAAAAACAATCCGATATTCGAAGAGTTCAAGATTCATTTCAATTTCGTCATTCTAATTTATAATTGAATGAATTTAGCATATTTTTGAAGTATGTGAAAGACAAAGAGATGGTCCGACAGAGGGGAAAGGGAGAATGAATGTGTTTTTATAAACGTGTGAATGCATCCAATTTGTATGCGCTTCGCGCGTTAAGCATTGCCAGGTAGCAAGTCGTCATTATGACGACGATTTGAGGTCATTTTTCGTCGTTTGACGTCAGTGGACTAAAAAATCACGTAAAAAGAACGTAACATTCACGACGACATATTATCGTTATAAATATCTCGTCATTTTTAGGTCATATTTAATGAATAATCTATAAATATAATGTGTGGAATAACCCAATATTTAGAGTGATCCCTGTTCGATTACTTTGCGATTGATCACCAGCCACTCACAGCGCTCATACAATTGCACGCGAAATACAATGCCAATACTAAAAATCTACAGTAGGGAAGAGTGGTCTAAATCGGACCGTGTTCCAAGTAGGACCTTTTTAATTAAAATGAATACGGTTAAGCAGATTTGCGTACTATTTATAATGTAAAGTCCTTATAAGACACCGAACATGTGATAGCAGTTTGACACACACACATACACACACACACAGTTCTCTGTCATAACATTCATAAAATAGACCCAAATATGTATTTTCAACCACAGTGTGAAAATTTTTTTAAAAAAGAAAATTCTTGTAAATCATTATTTAAAAGGTGTTAAAAATTTGAAAAGTAATTGATTTAAGATAATTAAAGAGTGTAGAATTCAAAAATATTAAGCATTTTATGATCACTTTTGCGGTTTATTGTAAAATTTGTTCCAAAAGTTCGAAAAGACCCGTGTCCAAATCGGACAGTACAGTGAATAACTTATAGACTTGGTTGTAGTACTGGTGATCGGCCGACCAGATCTGGTCCAAGCAATTAAATCATTAAAATATCATGAGTCATCAGACTCAGATTAGTTGAGTTTTAATTCTAATAATATAAACAGTCAGTAATTTCTTTTTCTGAAAAAATTGTTTATCTTTGACTGTCAAATTGCTCGTTTTTACTCAATACTAAAAAAAATACATTAAAATATTTTAAAATTCTATCTAAAAATCCATAAAAATAGGAATTTTCGATTTGAACCAGGGGATGGTCCGATTTGAAATCATTGGTTCCAAATCGGACCGGAAAAAGCATTTTTACGTTTTTCATTATAATTCAACGCAGGTGAGAGATACGCCAAAATCGTCTAAAGCAAAAATAAAGGTAATTAAATGATCTTTCGAATGGCACCTTTGATTTTACGATCGGACTTTATTTATACGCTTTATAAAGAGCGAAAACTGCAAATAAGTCCGATTTAGACCACTCTCTCCTACGTAACATGCACTACAGATTTTCAGTACTAGGTTTCGTGGTCAAAATTGGCGAATATCAAGCGTCAATTTTGATCACGTGGCCTGTTTTTAAATATGGCTAAAAATGAGCCGCGCGTTAGCATGATAAAGCCTGTTACATAATACGTCATATGTCGGTGTCGTGATTAGTATGCCGACGAATATCGTCAGCTTGTTTCCTGGATATATTTCTCGTCACAGATATGCCGTCATTTTGTCGTCATAAATATCATGTCATCGGTCTGCAACTTATGCACGTCATTATCACTTCGTTTTTGATGTCTTTTATGACGTGACTTTGGTGATAGTATTGACTAAAAAAAGACGTCATTTTGACGATACTTTGCTACTTGAGCCCGTGTCTAGAGATCCTATAATTAGAATTTGGCGAACGTAGACCAAAAATTGCTGATAGAAAGAGATAACAGATATTGTTTTCTCATATGAACGCATGTACAAAAAGTATTAGAATACCTGACAAGCAATACGTGACGATAATACCTGAATAAACCAATATAATTTGTTAATTTTCTCTTTGTCCGAGATCTCGAAACGATTTCTAACCTCTTTGACACAGGTTTTACTCATCTGCTATGTAGCTATCTATCTCTTTCTTTTCTTCGCACTCGTTTTTCGACAATGTACGAAGGTATCCGAAGAATACTGTGTAGACCAAGGTGGAGAACCAATCAGAAGTTTCCAGCTTTTATCAAACTCTGATTACAGGATCTCTATCCGCGTCTAACCGTGAGCGCCGCTCCTGCCCGGTTCCTCTACGCGGCCCATGATATGCTAATTATTTCTTTTTGTAATTTGAAAACTAAGCTTCGGAAAAAATTTTCATAAAGGAAAAATCGTCTTAGAATTAGGTCAGGAATACGTCTTTTCAGGAAAAGACCTGGATTGTTCTGGATCACCCTGTATACTTATCAAAAATATGTTTGTATAACAAATCAAACTAACCAAGACTCCTTATAAATCAAAGAATTGGAAAGAGTAAGGACTCTAGGATTTAGGCACAGAAGACGTCGCGCAAATAATACACCTAGGAAGCGTGAAACTTCTTTATTCACTAAACGCGCTTACAAGTTTCGGCTCACTTTTGAGCCTTCCTCAGAGCAAACACAAACTAACATATATAAACTAAAAGTTATCCTGTCATGGTGAGCTCCTCTACATCGAGAATTTAAATGCCAGAATTAAATAAAAAAAAAGAAAGAAAAGGAAAATAAAAAAGAAGGGAAATATTGAAAATGTCGAATTAGAGAATATGGAAACTAATTTATCAAAAAACTTTAAGAATATAATTAATTATCCCGAAAATAAGGATGTTCACCACGATTGCTAAGCACCATATTGCAAACATTACCATGAATAATTCAAAAACCGGTTCCTGATATGTTGGCCAATCGGTATCAGACACAGTGAGTCACTTTTTAGTTATTAGCTAGTATTTTTCGAGATAACAAATAGAAAAATCTTATTAAAACGTTAGTCAATTCCAAGAAAATGAAAGTTGTAAAGTGATCAGAAATCTCGTCAGAAGGACTCATTACTGTATAACGACACCGACTGATAAGACGTGACAATTAATTTGTTAATAGGCTTTTTCCATTTGTTATCTCGAAAAATACTAGCTAATAACTAAAAAGTGACTCACTGTGTCTGATACAGACTGGCTAACATATCAGAAACCAGTTTTTTAATTATTCATGGTAATTTTTGCGATATGGTGCTTTGTAATCGTGGTGAGCGTCCTTATTTTCGGGATAATTAATTATATTCTTAAAGTTGTTTAATAAATTAGTTTTCATTGTCTCTAATTCGACATTTTCAATATTTCCCTTCTTTTTCATTTTCCTTTTCTTTCTTTTTTTTTTATTTAATTCTGACATTTAAATTCTTAATGTAAGGGAGCTCACTATGACAGGATAACTTTTAGTTTATATATGGGGCATTCTTTCTCAAATCAGCCACCCGCCTGCGCATTTTATTTTTAAAGATAACATTTTTTTCGAAGCGTCAAAATTTCCGTCTAAACCTCAATTTTTTGATGCCGTATGGTGTTTTTTATTTCCTTATGGGTGTGACCATACGTTAAAAATAATGCTCAGACTTACCAAAATACTTGAAAAATGCAAAAATAACGTTTAGAGAGCTTTTTTTTTAAT